GATTCATTTTGTGAAGAGGAATGATGATCCCAAACTCCCCAGAGCAAGTTCAGTGCTGCATAACTGCTTTTTCGATGTCTTCTTCTTCTACCACTTCTTCTTCTTCTTCTTCTTCTTCTTCTTCTTCTTCTTCTACCACTTCTTCTTCTTCTTCTTCTTCTTCTTCTTCTTCTTCTTCTTCTTCTTCTTCTTCTTTTTCTTCTTCTTCTTCTTCTTCTTCGTTTACGTCTTCTTCTTCTCCTTGCTATGCATCCTTGTGAGGTATGGCTTCTTCTTCTTCATGTTTCGTGCCACTGCAGGTATGCATCGGTCAGTGTTGGCAGGAGTACAGGTACGCTGCAACCACCCCACCAAGACCCCCACAACACCCACGCCCCCCCAACCCCGACCCCCCCCACCCCCACCTCCCATGAAAAAAAAAATTGCACATCTATCTTTTCTCTGCGGATTCGGGGAGATCTCGACAAGCGCAGTCCAACCCCATCATCAAAAAATAACAATAATAATAAATCGACACGGTTTTGGGCCCAACCGGATTTCCGGTTGGACCACCGGGGTCCCAACCAGCCCGGTTGGGTCCGGTCCGGTCCAACCGGACGGTGGCCGGTGCAGCCCTGCTTTGTATTGCATGCATTTTAATTCATATTTAGATATGAGCAATCTACGTTTTTGATCTCTAATGACTTGATTTGACATATGGCTAAGCTTCTTTCTGTAAAAACCCGCTCCACAAAATGGAACTTTCATTTTGAGTTTTAGCTGAGGTGACAAGAGAGACATGAAACCCACGAAGGTGTTCAAAAATTTCGAAATGATTATGTATTTCTGGGAATAAGCGTAACAAATTCATTTTAATTTGACAATGGGGCTCTGTGGATTAGTACTAGCTTATGAGGTCAGGCCATGTTCTTCCCCCCACCCCCTTGGAATGCATATGAGGTCAGGCCATGTTCTTCCCCCCACCCCCTTTAGCTGTTCACCAGGGTTGGTTGGCGCTTCTCCGGGCCAGCTATGACTGGGCCATTTACTCGCAAGCCTGCAACTGCAACTTTTTTATAGTGGCCTGCCTGTTTAGCTACTGGCCCAGGCCTGGAGCCAAGTGCTCTTACCATCTATGCCAGTGAGAGCACTACTTAACACTCGTGTGAACTAGGTTCAGCAATCAATGCTGCTTGGATGGTCAGGAATACTTTACTCTGTACATAGGGCACCAGACCCATTTTCAAGCAGGTGTTACTCCCCACCAATAGACTGCAGCCATCACATAAGCCGCAATCCCAAAGATGCTCTTACCACTTGTGGGATAGAGGCCTTCCACTGTGGCACTTCTTGAAAAGAAAGAAAAAAAGTTGATGGCGGTGGTGGAACCGAATTTGGAACCAGTTAGGAACCGACTCTGGGTGGCCTTGGGAATGGAGGGTCCTGTTGTGTGGCCACTGGGCAGCCCCAGCCTCAACCTACACAACCAACCTTTTCAGGATAGGAAAAAAAGGCGGTGTTATGGGCCATCTCGTGGCATCACTGTGCTCTGGTGATGGATGGGGCTCACGTAGGTAGGGGGAAAGCAACTGAAACAGTCAAGGATATTGTGGAGACCGCAATTAGAGCAGAATGGAAAATAAGGGTGCCAAAGATGAGATCCCTCTCCCTAAAGGCTGGGCGGGGAGAGAGGGGGAAGGATAGCTGAGGTCCAATGGAAACTATTGACTATGCTTCAAGGATTGAACTACAGTTCTCGTGGACATCCCGCTCCCCCCACCCTCTGAATTCCCAAACTTATTCCTTCTCCCGTGTCATACGTTGGTGGATCTGGGTTGGTATGGCAGGGAGCAGGATGGACCTGCGTAACAAGTTTAAGGGCAGGGCCGGGAAGGAAGACGGAAGGCAGTGAGAAAGTCGGTATCAACCTTCGGTTGCCCCCGAGAGTTCGGAGCCCCTTCCCTATCCCCTGGCCTTCCCTTTACCGGTCATTGCCCAGCAATCGCCCATTTCTCTTTTTTTGTCTTCCAAAGTGTTGCAGTCATCCTTACTCACAGACATTTGGTTCAAATTGAGGTATAATGGGACGCTGGACCCGGTCTCCAGCACGTGTAGCTCCCCACCAATAGAGTTTAGCACTCAGCGGCGGACTACTAGGGAGGGATGCTCTTATCACCTCACCTAGTACCTTCAGCCTGGGGTTTAATAGTAAAAAGGAAGGAAAAAGAAAGTTGAAGGCTTCTGTTGAAGCAATGGAAGAAAGGGACTACTGCTGCTAAGTCCCAGGAACTTTCCATCAATTAGAAGTTCAATGCGTTCAAAGCATTGGACAATTCCAGGAGTCGAGTTCTCGGATTTTACCCAAAATAAACTTTACAGAATTGCCCAGTGATTGTTGAACCTGTGGCAGCAGTCTTTTATTGTCACTGGATGGGTCTTGTAACTCTTGTGTAGCCTACCCCACTTGAAGCATGTGCTCTCATTCCATGTTGACTGTTCGTTGTCAATCTCTCTTCCCCTTCCTATCTGACCCTCAGATCTCTCTCTCTCTCTCTCTCTCTCTCTCTCTCTCTCTCTCTCTCTCTCTCTCTCTC